GCAGCCGGCCATCTTGGTAAATGCCTTTGCCGAGCATGCTGCGCGTCGCGTCGAACATCAGCAGGGTCATCACGATCGAGAAGAGAAAAGGCGACAGCGCGCATCCCTGTGATCTCCCGAACGCTTGCGGCCTTGAGTCGGACATGGACCCCGCGTCGCGCACGCAGAAGCTCCGGTTAGTATATATGGCCTTGACCGCCGATGCGAACTTCTCGGGCGCACCGAAGCGGACGAGCGCCTGCACCAAGCCATCGGGAGACGCTGTCGAACGCCTTCGCCCAGTCAAGCGCGAGGAGAATCAGCTTGCCTGCTTTGGAGTCCCACGTGTCCTCGATCAAGCATTTGGCGATGAACAGAGCGTCCGCTGTTCCCCGGCCAGATCGGAAGCCGAATTGAGTGGTCCATATGCGTTCTTCCGCCCCTGCTTTCTTCAGTGGCGACAACAATATCATTGCGTACAATTTGTACCCAATCGGCAGAAGCGATATGTGTCGATAGTTTGCACAGTCAGAAGAATCGCCTTTCTTGAATATTGCAGAAACGACAGCCTCGTGCCGGGCTTCGGGGACGTCTGCTTCCAGCCAACACCGGTTGCAAAGTAAGACGGCCCACTGGCAAGCTGGCGTCTCAGCCACGCACGCGGCCTTCCAGAACTCAGCTGGCATGCCGTCCTTTCCCGCGGCCCGGTTCCGCTTCAGAGCTCGCGCTGCTTCACATACTTCCTGCTCGGTAATCGGCCCCAATTCTGTCGGGAGTGCGTCCCCAAGTGGTTCGGGGTTGTCGACAACCGTAGTCGGCCTCACTGCCCACTGCACGTTCACGAAATATTCTGCCAGAGTTTGCGCTCTCAGGTCGCTGTCTACAAGACGCCCTTGTGAGTCCTTCATTCGGCCCTGCGTGGCCGTCGAACCTTTGCGCAACTTTCGGACTTCGTCCCAATCTCCGGTCTGCAGTCGCTTGTCCAGCCAGATGCTCTTGTCGTTCTTCACAGAAGCTTTTATCCTGCCATTGAGAATCTTCTCGCGTGCCAGATGGCCCCCCGCCCGGGCCCTGTTCCTAGCTGCGATCAGTTCCAGCGTGGCGTCGCTGACCCACGGGCGTCCGTGCGCCTGCCGAGTCTGGGGCAGACACGCAGCAGCAGAGGCAGAGAAGGCGTCAACTATGCTATTGTTCAGCTCGTCGAGCGTCTGCCGGGCCTCCCGGCGCTCTGCTGCCATGTAGTCCGCGAAGGCGTTGTTGAAGCTTCGCTGGAGCGGTGCTTGGGCGAGCGCCTGCACATCGACTTTCTGCCGGCACGGTTGGGGAGCGTCGTCGATGTCGAGCTGGGCGTAGCACAACAGCAAGAAATGGTGAGAAGCGAGAGCTATATCTTTGTTGCTTCGGACGTCTGTCACGCACTCCAGGCGTGCACTTGAGCATAACAAGAAGTCGATTTGGCCATAATGTTCTGGGACTGCTGGGCTGGACGGCTGTGATCCGACATTGTAGCACGTGACCTGCTGCTCTGCGGGATGGTTGAAGAATGTGTTCGCGATCACGAAGTCATGGGTGCTGCACAGCTCGAGCAACAACGTCCGATTGGAAGACGGATTTTGCTGCGCGGCCAGGTTGCCGAAGATGTACTCCCCCAGGTGAGTGGACTCCCCGGCGAAGCGCCTGTGCAGCCTCGCATTGAAGCCGCCCAACACCAGTGCCCGTTGGGAGAGATGCACCATATAGCTCTTCTCCAAGCTTTGATAGAGCGCGCTCGTGGGGCCCGATCGACTAAAAGGGGGGCCCCAGCTTGAAGCTACCCTCCTCCCCCTTCCTTGCTAAAGGGGGGGGGGCTTCGGAAGCCCCCCCCCCCTCCCCCCTTTTTCATTGTCCGGGGGGGGGGGCTTCCAAGCTACCCCCCTCCCCCTCCCTCCCTTTAATTGAGCCGGGGTGAACCCCCCCCCCTTTGAAATGGGTGGGGGGCTTCGGAAGCTACCCCCCCCCCTCCCCCTCTTTTCGTGGCCGGATAGGGCGGGGGGGCTTCCAAGCTACCCCCCCCCTCCCTCCTTTTAGTGGAGCTGGGGTGAGCCAAGCCCCCCCCCCTCCCTCCCTTGGTGCCAAAGGGGTGGGGGGCTTGAAGCCCCCCCCCCCTTCCTCCCTTTGGCCGCCCAGCTCCCGGAGCCATCGCTCTCCCTTTCGCCTCCATGTATTTCCGCCCCTCTCCCTCCTCCTCTTCTTCCTTTTGCCTCCTCCTCTTCCTCGTCCTCCTCATCCTCCTCATAGTCATCATCGTCATCATCATCATCATCATCATCATCATCATCATCATCATCATCATCATCATCATCATCATCATCATCATCATCATCATCATCATCATCATCATCATCATCGTACATCCCCCGCGGGTCCTTCCGTTACGTTCCTCCTCCTCCTCCTCGGTTTTCTTCTCTTCCTCCTCCATTTTTCCCTCCTCCTCATCATCATCATCATCATCCTCCTTTTCCTCGTCCTCCTCCTCCTCCTCGTTATCCTCCTCCGTTTCCCCATCTTCCTCCTCCTCCCTCCCTCCTCCTCCTCCTCTCTCCTCCTCTCCTCCTCCTCCTCCTCCTCCTCCTCCTCCTCCTCCTCCTTCTCTCTCTCCTCTCTTTTTCCCGCATTCTCCTCCCCCCCCCCTCCCCCTCCTCATTCTTCCGCCTCCTTCTCCTCCTCCGCCTCCTCCTCCTCCTTCTCCTCCTCCTCCTCCTCCTCCTCCTCCTCCTCCTCCCCCTCCGCCTCCCCCATCCTCCGTCTCCTCCTCCCCCAGCTGGCCGCCGTCTTACACGAACACTGCCGAACCCGACGGGCTGGCGTTCTCCGAATTACACTTCGTGCAACTTTCGGGGGGGAATCGTATTTGTCCCAACCCTCCTTGGTTGGGTATTCGTTTTGAATAGAGCAGTGTGGTCTCCACTTCCTCCTTCCCGTCCCCTTCCCTCTTGCCTCCTCCTGTCTTGCCTGCGGGGTGCTGCGATCTGTGAAACTGTCGCCACTTTCGAGGCTTGCTGGGGGGCCCAGCACAGTGACGCCATCCATTGGCGGACCCAAATTAGACCTCGCCAACCCTGGGGGGCTGCGATCTGTGAAACGGTCGCCACTTTCGAGGCCTGCTGGGGGGCCCAGCGCAGTGACGCCACGGGCGGACCCAAATTAGACCTCGCCATCCCTGGGGGGCTGCGATCTGTGAAACTGTCGCCACTTTCGAGGCCTGCTGGGGGGCCCAGCAAGTGACGCCACGGGCGGACCCAAATTAGACCTCGCCATCCCTGGGGGGCTGCGATCTGTGGAACTGTCGCCACTTTCGAAGCCTGCCGGGGGGCCCAGCGCAGTGACGCCACGGGCGGACCCAAATTAGACCTCGCCATCCCTGGGGGGCTGCGATCTGTGAAACTGTCGCCACTTTCGAGGCCTGCTGGGGGGCCCAGCACAGTGACGCCACGGGCGGGCCCAAATTAGACCTCGCCATCCCTGGGGGGCTGCGATCTGTGAAACTGTCGCCACTTTCGAGGCCTGCTGGGGGGCCCAGCACAGTGACGCCACGGGCGGACTCAAATTAGACCTCGCCATCCCTGGGGGGCTGCGATCTGTGAAACTGTCGCCACTTTCGAGGCCTGCTGGGGGGCCCAGCACAGCGACGCCACGGGCGGACCCAAATTAGACCTCGCCATCCCTGGGGGGCTGCGATCTGTGGAAACTGTCGCCACTTTCGAGGCCTGCTGGGGGGCCCAGCACAGTGACGCCACGCGCGGACCCAAATTAGACCTCGCCATCCCTGGGGGGCTGCGATCTGAGATCCCCGCTTTCGAAGTGGCTAGGGTTGCTCAGGGATTGCAACTAATCACCATTATCTAGTCCTTGTCCTGAAGCCAGTGTCCTGCGAGTCTCCCAGATTCCGTCTGCAGACATATGTAACCCTCGCTCCGTCATCGCCCCCCTTATCAAGTGTCCTAAACTATTTGCGCCCCGCGTTTGCGCAGGGGTTGGGTACGTCGCCAGGGTAATTTTTCGTTCCCGGGCGTTGGCACGGGACGAGTTGAATGATACACTTGCGTTGCAATCGATTGCAATCCCTTGGATTGCAAACGATTCGATTGCAATCCATTGGATTGCAACCGATTGGATTGCAATCGGGTGAATTGCAATCGATTCAATCGATTGGATTGCAGGGGAGGGACAGGACGGAAGGGAGGGAGGGGAGGAGAGGGATGGGAGGGAGGAGATGGAACGAAGGGTGGGGAGGGAGGGGAGGGAGCGGAGGGAGGTGGGGAGGGGGATTGCAGTGGAATGGAGTGTAATCGATTGCAAGCGATTTGATTGGGATTTTCGATCGTCGATCGTTGATCGTCGATCGTCCATCCTCGATCGTGGGTCGTTCATTTTGGATCGTCGGCGAAAGGGAGGGCGGAGGCTCCGGGGGCTGGGCGGCCAAAGGGGGGAAGGGGGGGGTGGCTTCCAAGCCCCCGCCCCCCCTTTGGCACAAAGGGGGGGAGGGGGGGGAGCTTCCAGCAGGGCGGCTCCAAGGGAGGGGGGGGGTAGCTTAAGTATTCCCCTCCCTTTGGAAAGGGGGGTAGGGGGGGGGGTAGCTTCAGGGGCGGCTAAAGGGTGGGTGGGTGGGTAGCTTCCAAGCACCCCCCCCGCCTTTGCACGAAAGGGGGGGAGGGGGGGTAGCTTTCAGCAGGGCGGCGCCAAGGGAGAGGGGGGGGTAGCTTAAGCATCCCCCCCCCCCCCTTTGGAAAGGGGGGGAGGGGGGGGGGTAGCTTCCGGGGAGGGCTAAGGGGGGAGGGGGAGGTAGCTGTAAGCCCCCCCCCCCCCTTGCAAAAAAAAAGTGAGAGGGGGGGGGGCTTCTAACAAGGGCGGCTCAAGGGAGGGGGGGGGTAGCTTAAGCCTAGCCCCCCCTCCCCTTTGCTCGGGCCCTGTGGGCGCGCTCTCTCCAAGCTTTGTGTAAACATCCCGTCTGGCGTCCAAGGGCTTGCCACTGTGAGGGGCGTACGCACTGAAGATAGGAAGCTTCCCACCATGGACGCGCAACTTGAGAAAGATGATCCTGGCAGAAACCATCCGAAAACCGACGATGCTCCTCCGGATGTCTGGCGCGATCAAGAAGGCAACGCCGGCGGTTTCCGGATCGTCTGAGTCCCCCGATTAGATCAGTGGGAAACCTTTGTTTGTAATATCGTACATGGACTCGTATTTGTTAGTTTTCCGTAATGCCAGAATATCAGTACGAAGCTCGTGCATGTGAACCTGGAGTTCCTCTACCTTTGCCTCGGTGAGCCCCTCCACGTTCCAGGAACCCAGCAAAACGTCCCTCCCGCAAAGCCGCAGATTCCCACCACGAAAACCAGGGACTCCAGCGCCGTATAATATGGTAATATTACGCAAGGCATGGCAATATGACGCAAGGCATGCCATATGGCTTTCTACCTCCTCCCTCGTCTTCCCCCCTCCTCCCTCGTCGTTGTCCTCCTCCCCTCTTTCCCCCCTTTCCTCCCTCGGGGAGGGTTGGTTTCCCGGCAGGAAGATCTGTCGAAGTGCAGTGGCGACGCAGATGCAAGGTTTCTACGGCAGAGATGTCGGCGGACTGTCCTCGGTCGTCCCCTGGACGTCGGCGTGGTCTGAGTCACCAGCGAAAGGCCTTCAGGGACACTTCTGAAGCAGGAGGGAGCCATACGTGGCAATCAAGAGCGATAGGCGTGGATCCTTCTCGCATGCGCTGCATAGACAGTCAATTCCGACGCTTCGCCCATCTTCAGTGGTTTGGCAGATCCCCATCTCCGCCACCCCAGTTGCGCCTCCGGTGCCGGGGAATGAGGGTGGGCATGGGGTCCAGCGCCGACCTAAGAAAATCCGCTCGGGTCTCCGAATTTTGTCGTTTGTTCCCCAATCAGAGCTTGCCGCTGTAGGATCCCAGCGGATTCATATGTATAGCCTTATTGCCCTATAGCCCAAGAGCCCTATAACCCTATAACCCGATAGCCCGATAGCCCTATAGCCCTGTAGCCCTAATTGCCTTATAGCCCTGTAGCCCTATAGCCCTATAGCCCGATAGCCTTGTAGTCCTATAACCCAAGAGCCCCATAGCCCTGAAACTCTATAGCTTTATAGCCCTATAACCCTATAGCCTTAATAGCCTTATAGCCCTGTAGCCCTATATATAGCCCTATGGCGCTATAGCCCTATAGCCTTATCGCCTTATAGTCCTAACGCCCAAGAGCCCTATAGCCCTATAACCCTAATAGCCTTATAACCCTGTAACCCTACAGCCCTATAGCCCTATAGCCCTATAGCCTCATAGCCCTATAATCCAATGGCCCAAGAGCCCTATAACCCTATAACCCTATAGCCCTGTAGCCCTGATAAACCTACAGCCCTATATATGCCCAATCTTCCTTATAAGCCCAATAGCCTTATAGCCTTATAGCCAAATAGCCCTGTAGCCCTATAGCCTTATAGCCCTATAGTCATAAAGCCCTATAGCCCTAAAGCCCTATAGCCCTATAGCCCTATAGCCCTAGCAGCCCTAGTAGCCCTACAACCCTATAGCCCTATAGCCCTATAAACCTAAACAGAGTATGGTTGGGTTTTTCTCTGATCTCATTTAGTACTTTCGCTATTCTTTGTTATTCGGGCGATGTCTTTACGCTATCACGTGGCTCGCAAAGACGCAGTTTCTTTGTCAGGATATTGCTTTCGATTGCTTGGCAAGGTGGCCTAGGTCCATGTCGTCTGTAGTCGCTCTTTCAGTGAGCGAGGGAAAGGCCATTGCACTCCACCATACCAGGCGTCCATCTCAAGAGAGCGGAGTGGTCCTTCGATCCGCATGTCCCCAGGATCCTCTGGAGCGTATGTGTGTTTCGGATCGAGGTAGCTATTCTTGCACGGATGTGCCTAAACCCCAGCTGGCTGGACTGGTTGTTCGATCGATCAATCCCGTCCTCTCCTCTTCCTCCTTGCTTCTCTTTCTGATTGTTCCGCCCGCCACTATGTGCCTGAGCCCCGCGAGGATGCTCTTCACCGATGGCAGAGGGGGCCTGGTGGACCGAGCTGTGCACCACACGCCCGAGCTCGACATCCCCCAGGAAACGCATTCTCCGACCAGTCCCTTGCACTTCTCTTGCTCTTCTTCTCCTTCCCCTTCTCGGGGGAGCTGTTCCCTTACCGTACTAAAAGGTATATGGGGCTGTCTATGTTTGATCATGGATTTCACCGTTGAGGACCACCACCCGAACCAAATCCAGATGTGCAACTTGTCCTGTTGTATGTTTTGTTGCTGGTGTGTGTGTGCGCGTGTGTGTGCGCGTGTGTTTTAGTCCACCCGTATTCCGTGGCAGTGGCGCACTACCATGCGCCCATGTCGTCTGCCGAGTTTCTGACGCGTTCCGAGCAGAGCATCGTGCGATAGGTACAGGCCAGGCGCGCCGACCGCACGTGCGTCCCCTTTCGGGAATGTTCTTTTATGCATATTTGTTTTCTGACCAGCCGTGCCCGCATCGCAGGCATCGCCGCGGGCAGGACGCCTCTCCACCCTCGCCTTCCTCATGCATCCTCTCCTCGCCTTTCTCCCCCTCCCTCCTGCCGCTGTTGCTCCTTCCTTCCCTGCTCCACCCCTCCTTCCCTCATCCCTCCCTCCCTCCCTCCCTCACCCCAACGACTTTTGTCCTGGGCTCAACGCGTGTTCAGTGCAACATGCGTGCTGCCAGCACGGCCCTCTGTGGGGCTGTGGGGCCTTTGAGGCAATGATTGCGGAGGCGGGGAAGCGTTGCTGCAAACCCTTCTCTCCTGTGCTGAACTGCGCATGCAACTATCTTGCCAGTAGCTGAATTCAGACCGATCTTCACATGATGGTCGAAGCAAAGCCGATAGGACCACGGGATTCCCCCAACGCTGCTGCAATAGGCTAGGCGTACAACAAATCGTGCCCCCTAGGCATGCTGATATGGATCACAAACATCGAGCCGCCCAAAGAAACCCTACCCCGCCACGTGTGCGTATACAGGCGTCTGAAATTATGATTTTCATTTGTGTCACTTTTCAAGGAGCCTCAAGGGGCATTTGTGTCAATTTTGCAGTGGGCTTCTTTGAGACCGACCGTTCTCTCAACACCCAACATTCCCAACTTCCCGTTCCCATACCCTTATCTCCCGATGGCCGGTACGAGCTCGCGGGCGTCAGGGACACCAGTTCGCGCAGTCCTCGCGCGCGACGTCCGACGCCGCTTATTCAGTCCGCTCAACGAGATGGACGGTGGCCTGCACGGGATTGGCGACGGCCCGCAGCGGCTCAGCATAGGCACGCCGCCGCAGATTCCCGACACACCTCCAGACGCTCGCAGTGCAAGCACCTCCCAAGCGGGATTGCAGGATATCGCAGCGATGCTCAGGCAGGAGGTACCCCCCTTTAAGGCAGGCGATCACGAATCTAGAGAGTAAGATTTCGGGTATGGGCCAGGGGATCTAGGTCAGGATGGGGACGATGGAGGAGAAGGTGGAGGAGGTAGAGATCCGCATCGCGAATCTTGAGAACCAGGTCGATCTCGGCACCCCGCGCTCCGAGCAGTGCGTCAGCCAGGAGGTTCTAGATCAGATCAAGGCGCTGCAGCTTCAAGTCTCCATGCTGATGACCCCGCGCGGCAACAGTACAGATAACCAGGAGAAGGATAAACGATAGTGATCGGGGGGGTGCGGCATTTCGAAGACCTCGACGGGGCGAAGAATTGGGTGACTAATAAATTATGGGAGTCTTATGGGCCTCAACCGGAGGAGATATACGCGAAAGGGGGGTTCAAGGGGATCGTTTTCGGAAGACTCGCATCGACGAAAGACTGGGGCACGGCGGTGAGTATCTTCCGGGAGGGCAAATTCAGGGAGAGGGGGGAACGACGTTTGGGCTAAGCCGGGCCAGTCCCTCCCAGACCGGGTCATTTCGAGCGTCGTGTTTGGGGTGAAGTACTTGCTTAAACAATGGGGTTGCGCTGGTCAGTCTGTCTGGGCCGATCCTGTGGAGGGCAAGGTTTGGATTGGGGATGACATTGCCGTTCAGGCCAGCATCATGTCCGACAAGTTCCACGTTAGATATGGGCGAGGGTGGGAGGAATGGCTCACGGACTCCGAGTTCCCTGACTTCCCCCAGCTCGTGAAGAAGATGGCCGGCAAACTCGAGAACTTCTCGTCCAAGGGATCCGGCAAAGCCGCATCCAAGGGGAAGTGGAAGGGGATGGGCGCCCACGCCATTTAGGGGTGCCAACGGTGTGCAAGCAGAGACGTTTCACCCCAGAGTGTTCGGGATCGCGTGCTTGACTTGCACGTTCTTCAGGACGCTCTTAATACCGACGCCCATGCAGCTGAAGCGGAGCAGCCTGGTCAAGCCAAACTGCCACTCGCCGCGTGCAGGGGCGGGCGCTCATTCCTATTCAACTTCAGAATTCACGATTGCATCTTAAACAGTAAAGGGTACACATATTCGAAGAATATCGAATGAGAGAGAATCATGATTGATAACGAGATCGGGGTGCTGTGCGTGCAAGAGACTTGGCAATTCAAGTCCAACGCGTTCGTGACATAATCAGGCTTCTTGGTCATCATGTCGGGAGGGATCGACGGATATAGCGAGAGTGCCCGAGTGGGGTTCCTAGTGGCTCCTTGGTTCCGGAGATCGGCAGTGGGATTCTGCCAGGCCGATTCAAGAATGGCGTCTTTGAAAGTACGCGTCCCTGGAGGCAAGGCTGTTGCATTCTCGGCATATGCGCCTCGTAGTGGTAAGCCTTTTGATCAAAGACGCACTTTCTTTCATGACCTGGCTGAATTCGCCGAGTCTAAATCGGCGCGCGGACCCAAATTGGTACTCGGCGATTTCAATGCGAAGCTTCACTACCGCATGGGCGGTGAACGCGCCATGGTGGGCGAGCGAGCGCGTCCTGCTGAGCCCGGGCGCGGGGCGCAAGGACGATGCCAGTCGACATTTGCTTGTGGAGACGCTCGCGCATCTCAACGTGTGCCTGGCCAGCGCTTTTTTTTCGAGACCTCGGTTGGCGGCCTGGCAACCTGCTACAACGTTGGCGCGAAAGCAGGCGCCCCGGTCAGCGGTCAGACTCACTCGCAGATCGATTTCTTTTGTTGTGGGCAGGGCTGGCTGCATAACGTCAGAAGTGCGACTTGTTGCCCGGGGGCGCCACTGCCATCGCATCGCTTCTTGCTGCGAGCCTCCGTGCGCATGGGGGTCGGCGGGCGCTGCGTAGAAGAACTGGCATGTCGCCGTGGCCACGGCGCCCTGGCCGACAAGAAACCAGGCAGATCTTTGCAGGATGTCTGGGCGAGGCTTGTGGCAGCTGCGAAGAGGCCCCCCCCAGAGCGACTGTGACGCGAACCCGGCGTGGTGCCGAATGGTTGATGGCTTCGTACATGCGGAGACGATTGTCTTGCCGCAGGAGCCGATTCGCCCCCGCAAACCATGGGTCGGCAGCAGCACGTTGGAACTCGTGCAGTTGCGGCGTCGGGCCAGGCGGGGCGCGGATTCCCCGCGAGAGCGTGACATAGCGAAACGAATCCGAGCTTCCGTGGCCAGAGGCGAGGCGAATTGGCTAGAGGATGTAACCAGAGATGGAGATTGGGCACAGATCCGCAGACTGCGCAAGGGCCGCCAGCATGCCCAGGGAAGACTTCGCACGAACGAGGGCGAGCTGGTGGACAGCGACCGCAGGGCAGATACACTTGCGAAGCACTTAGAGACAGTGCAGTGTCCGTGCGGCCTGCGACAGTGCTGCCGGAAGTCCCCGCGAATCAAGCTGGTTTGCTGTTCAACCTGGACATCGTCACTGACGAGGGGGTTCAGCGAGCCGCCCGCAGACTGAAAAAACAAACGATCGGGCGGCTTGGGCGGCTTGCCACCCGAATCCGGGAAAGCGTCTGCTGAGGATGGGCAGCCAGCCCTCGCATGGGTCACACGTTTCTGTGACGTGGTCTGGTCGCAGGCGGCGGTGCCAGACGCATGGCGCAAATTGCGGGTTCGCATGATCTACAAAGAAGGGCGACCCTGCAGTTTGCGACACTTACTGGCCGATCAGCTTGCCGCCGATGGGGTGCAAGGTCTTCGCGATGATCTTGTTGCAGAGGCTGAAGGACGCGGGCGCAGAGGGCAAGATTTGGCCCAGCCAATTCGGCTTCTGGACCAAGCGCGGTACCTCGGGCGCGATCTTCGTGGCCACGAGGGTGCTCGAGGACGCGTGGGCCACGAGGGAGGGGGCCGTCCACCTACTGGCGCGTGATTGGGCGAAGGCTTTCGATTCCGTGTCGCCTGCAGCAATGGCGACATCGCTTCGGCGGTTCTGGTGCCCTGCCAAGCTCGTAGACGTGGTGATGGCGATCTACGAGGGCAGAAAATTCGTCGTGCCTGACTTCGGCTCATCATCCGGGGAGCGGCGGCAAAGGTTCGGTATTTGCCAGGGGTGCACGCTGTCTCCATTCCTGTTCGCCATCGCCATGGCGACGCTGCTGGCATTCCCGACGCTCACTTTGTGCGAGACCTGGTGTGCGCCGAGGGCGCTCTCTTGATGGGCGCGAGCCCTGTCGTCGTGCAGGAGTTCATGTCCAGCGTGGAGGAGCGCGGGGAGGAGTGCGGCCTGAGCTTGAACTGGAACAAAGTGGACATGCTGAGAGTCCGCTCAGACGCGCACGTAGTGAATAGCGTTGGAGACACGGTGAAAGAAAAGGAGGCCTTGCTGTATCTCGGGGCCCACATCTCGTCATACGGCCGTAGTGGCTCTGAGTTGAATCGGAGATTGGGCGCGCGGAGATTGGGCGCGGAGATTGGGCACGACCACCCCCCAGCACGACCACCCCCCAGCACGACCACACCCCAGCGCGACCACTCCCCAGCACGACCACACCGCCTTGGTTGAGTGGTTGCCTGTCGTCGTGGAATGTTTCGTGGGGTGTCTCGTGGAATGTTTCGCGGGGTGTCTCGTGGAATGTTTCGTGAGGTGTCTCGTGGAATGTTTCGTGAGGTGTCTCGTGGGATGTTTCGTGAAGTGTCTCGTGGGATGTTTCGTGAGGTGTTGCCCAGTTGGGTATCGTGAGAACGTGTC